GTGCATGGCCTCCGGCCTGGAGCGTTGGGGCTCGGCTGTGTCCCAAATTCACAGCACGAGCTGCAGTTGCGTGGCCAGCCTGATCGGACATACGCTTATTAGTGTGATGGTGGATAGGCACAGAAATAACCTGGAGCGTACATGAAAAGCAGTTTACTTCTTTTGGTGCATTCAAATTGACTTTGCACACCTGCAGTGGCAGGGGAGCTGGCCCTTGGTCACCACCACTGCTGCAGCTCTGCGCGGAGCAAGGAGACCCTCCTCCTGCAGCAGGAGCTGTGCCCCGCCAGTGGGATGCTTTGAATGCATGGTTGTGGTCTGCCTACTGGAATATCTTGTGCACGTACTTGGCACCACGCTCCTGGTACTCACCCATTGCCATCCATGTGTGCTGGAAGGACGTGAGTGATGCTGCCATTGAGCTGCTGTGCCCCTCTCCAGGCTCGCCAGGACCTGAATCTTGCAGACCGTGCCATGGAACAGGGCATTCAACTCTAAGCACATCCTCTCAGGCAAAGGCAGGAAACATCGAGGAGCCCCCTGACAGCACGATGTTACCCACTGTGTCCCTCCTGGTGTGGTCAGGTACCTTCTGGAGGCTCTACAAGGCCATGTGGTGGAGCCCTGGGAAGCTTTGGTGGAGCTTTACTTGGAAGAGCAGCTCTGGGCAGCAGAACAGTTCCTTGTCCAGCATTATCCAGTGCCCATCAGGGGCTTGAAATCTGGCTGGATGATGGCAACTTTGGTCATGGAGGTCTCCTTTGTAGTCCATGGAGACATAGCAGCACTGCTGCTTCAGCTGGATTACCGTCACCTTCTTCAAGGCCTTCAGCATGGAGGCGTCGTTGGGGCTCTCTATCAGCAGGCTGTGCAGATAGCTGGAGAGGAAGCCACCAGCCACCCTGAGGCGGTCGGTAGCCTCCCTCCAGCTCTGGCCCAGGCAGACAGAGGTGGCGTGGGACACTTCTGCCCCAACCTCCATGGCCAGACCAGTGACTGCTGTAGGTGCAGCGGGAGAGAAATGTAGTGTTAGCCATGTGCAGGCCTGGCACCCCAAAAAGCACCTCTGCCAACTTCTCCCTGTTGGTGGAGGGGCAAGAAGGGAAGTCGGCCATGAGCATGAGCTGTTTTTCTGGGAGGACTTTCAGGCCACAGAAGAGGTGGCTCCACAGGTTTTTCCATCCTGTCCCAGTCCTCAATGATGCTGTGCTTGAGTGGGTGAGTCCTGGGTGCTACGGCAAAGCCTGCTGTGCTTTCAGCGGTAGAGGGAAGCTGCTCAGTCTCCCACATCATGCCTGCACTGCAGAGATGCAGCATCACAGTCCTTAGCACAAACTTGGCCTTCTGGCCTGCAAAGCCTGCCTGGGTGAAGCTGCTGCCGTTGTCTGTGACCGCTGCGGGCTTTGGCACGACTGGCACTCCCGAGGGATGCCAGGGAGGGAGGAGGAGCCTCACCCTGCAGTGGAACAAGAGGGGTCCTGTGGGGGCAAACCAGGCCAGGTACCTGCTCTGCACGGGATCCTGGGGCCCAGCCCCAGCAGGGGATGACTGTGCCTGTCTTAGAAGTGTCTCTGGGTACCTGCCTCAGCCTTTCCTCCTGCCTCCTTGCTCCCTGCCTCACGGAGCATCCCTCCTTGGGTACCTTGTCTCCATCCCTGGGGGCTGGAGATTTGCTCTAGGCCCTTGGGTTGTCTAACAGTGCAAGGACAAAACTCTGGGTGGTTTTAAGGAAGCAAGGGAAAACTGGACTGGAAAGCAGAGTGGATGGACCAGGCTTCAGGGAATGGTGCTTCCAGTAGAACCCATAACACGTGGAAAGGAACCATGCTCTGGGCTGTGGCTGTTCACTGCACACAGATATTTGCCCGAGAGGATCTGTGGTCACAGCTGGCAAAGGAAGGAAGGAGTTTGGGGTCTCTGTGTCTGTGTCCATGCACTTCCCTGGAAGTTGCTCCCTGGAAGGCGCTGCCTGCACCTGGGGGGTTGCTGCAGGCTCTCCTTAGCCTGTCCCAAAGCCTCTGCCCTGCCAGCCTTGTCCCAGGAGCCCTGGTGCAAGCACAGCAGTGTGTGAACTGCTGGGTGCAGCAAGGGATGTGCTGCCTGCCCTGGAGCTGGGGGCTATTTCTGCAAGTGGCCTTTACCTTCAGGCTTGGGGGTGTCCAGCTGTGTTCCCCCATGGCTCCTGGGGCCCATGCCAGCTGGCGGCTGTGGGTACTGGGGCTAGGGTGGGGGGGGTCAAGCCATGCATCCCCTGTTGTGACCTCACAGGTGTGCAGCCAGAGGATGCTTTTGTCCTCAGTGTCATTGTTTCCTACGATGCCTAAAAATTTGGTTGGAATCCACCCCATTGGTTTTATTTAAGGGCCAGTCCCTTCCATATGCAGCTCTGCTTCCCCTGCGCAGAGCTGGGGGCATCTGACAGATCCTCTCCCTTTCCCACAGAGGTATGAGACCTCCTCGAAGATGGAACAGTTTCTGACCCGTTTCCTGCTGCGGGAAACCATGCACCAGCTGCAGTCCCTGCAGGCCTCACTTGAGTGTGCAGTGGACACTGTGGAGGAGCAGGCGGGACAGGAGAGGTAATGGAGCGGGACATGCTGGGCTTCCCCCTCTCCCCACTGCCACTCATGGGGATCACAGCATAGAATCATAGAATCATAGAATGTTTTGGGTTGGAAGGGACCCCTAGAGGTCATCTAGTCCAACCCCCCTGCAGGAGCAGGGACACCGCTAACTAGATCAGGTTCCTCAGCGCCCCGTCCAACCTGGCCTTGAATGTTTCCAGGGATGGGGCCTCCACCACCTCTCTGGGCAACCTGTTCCAGTGTTTCACCACCCTCATTGTAAAGAACTTCTTCCTTATATCTAGTCTAAACCTACCCTGGTTTAGTTTAAAACCATTACCCCTTGTC